TGAACTCAATCTTGCGGAATCTTTTGCACAACTTCTGTATATACTTTACATACGGTGTGATCTTTGGGTTCTTTACGGCCCATTCTCCTTGAACCTGATGAATCAGCAAATCTGAATCTCCAATAACTAACAGCTCATGAACGCTCATATCAATTGCCATCTTCAGACCGAGGGTGCAAGTTACATACTCAGTCATGTTGTTTGTGCAATTAAATCGGAGTTTAGCCGCCATAGGATAATGCTGACCAGATTCTGACACTAAGACCGCTCCGATACCTTTCCCTTGGTGATTCGTCGCTCCGTAAAAAAATACTCTCCAACCGGGGTAGGCTTCAGAAATATCTTCACCCACAAATGAAACTTCATCGTCAGGAAAATAGGTCTTGAGCGGTTCGTACTCCTCATCAACTGGATTCTCTGCAAGATGATCGGCCAAGGCTTGTGCTTTTATTGCCTTTTGAGTCACATACACAATGTCAAACTCACTCAAAAGCATTTTCCACTTAGCCAACTTCCCCATCGGCATTGCTTTCTGGAAAATGTACTTCAACGGGTCCATTCTGGAAATAAGGTATGTGGTATAAGAAGACAAATAATGTCTCAAGTTTTGAGCGATCCAAGTCAAAGCACAACATGTTCTCTCCAAAAGAGTGTAACGAGCCTCATATGGGGTGAACTTTTTGCTCAAGTAATAAATGGCTCGCTCTTTCTTCCCAGTTTCGTCATGTTGACCGAGCACGCATCCCAATGCATTATTTGAGACAGAAAAATATAGCAATAGCGGACTCCCTTCTCGCGGAGGGACTAACACCGGCGGATTGGACAAATAGGTCTTGATGGCGTCAAAAGCAGTTTGACATTCTCCGGTCCACTTGGTCGAGACATCTTTTTTCAATAACTTAAAGATGGGCTCACACACCACGGTGGATTGAGCTATAAACCGGCTGATGTAGTTCAACCTTCCTAAAAAACTTATCACCTCTTTCTTGGTCTTCGGAGGAGGTAATTCCTGGATTGCCTTGATCTTGGAAGGGTCAAGCTCAATGCCCCTCCTGCTGACTATAAATCCCAACAATTTGCCAGCTGGCACTCCAAAAGCACACTTGACAGGATTTAACTTCAAATTGTATCGGCATAGGCGATCAATGAATTTTCTCAAGTGAGTCAAGTGGTCTGAACTCTCGCGGGACTTGATTATGACATCATCTACATACACCTCGATCTCCTTGTGAATCATATCATGAAAAATGATTGTCATGGCCCTCATATAAGTAGCACCGGTATTCTTGAGACCAAAAGGCATCACCGATAATGATATACGCCCCAGGGCGTGATGAAAGCTGTCTTTTCTGCGTCTTCTTCATCCATCAGGATCTGGTGGTAACCAGCATAACAATCCACAAATGACTGCATCTCATGCTTAGCACAATTATCAATGAGAATGTGAATGTTTGGCAATGGGAAATTATCTTTCGGGCTAGCTTTGTTGAGATCTCTGTAGTCGACACAAATTCTGATTTTTCCATCTTTCTTGGCAACCGGAACAACGTTAGCTAACCAAGTTGGATATTGCGGCCCTTCCACTACTTGAGACTCGATCTATTTTGTAATGTCCTCCTTGACCTTCAAACTCAACTCAGGCTTGAATTTTTGAGTCTTTTGTTTTACTGGACTGAAATCTGGATTGATCGGCAACTTGTGGGACACTATATTCGTGCTCAGCCCTGGCATGTCTTTATAAGACCAGGCAAATACATCAATGTACTCCCTGAGCAAACGAACCAGGTCTCTTCTCTGGGCTTCAGTCAGATGGACACTGATTATGACTTCTTGACACATTCCTCATCTCCGAGATTCACAGTTTCAGTTTCTTCTAAGATTTGGCTTGTGTTGATTCTCGAATTGTCGAAACTCTTCTGCAACATGTTCGGGTACCTCATTTTATTCTTCATATTCCTCAGACTCATCATCACATGCCTCATTTCGTTCACTCGGTTCATGACATGACATTGGCAGGTTTTAAATTAATATTACTGAAATCATAAACAAACAAAGTTAGGAAAGTAAAATATAAACAGATAAGTAAACAAATTTTGATAAAAGAGGCTTTTCATTTAAATTGAAAGACAAACACAAACTTTGGCCATGGTCGAGGGCCATTTTGCCTTTTTAAACATCACAAGGGAATTTAAAAGCTTTAAACAAATAATGATTGCATAAAGGGTGGGTCTCGGGCCTCTCCGGACTACCACCGATTTTAAAACAAACAAAGACACATGTCTTTCTACCCAGATGAACGGGAAATCAGGAGTGGTGTGGAGGTCCAGTTCTGCAATCGCTCCTCAAGTTCTGCATCACGGATGCCTGATGTCCCAGCCTTTTCATCGATAACCGCATCAATCTCCTCGAAAAGGCCCCAGATTCCTTCCCCGAGACCACTATCGTTGACATTTTCTCGTACTGGAAATGACTGGTACAAATAAGGAATTGGCCTAGTCAATGCTTGATCAATACTCTTGTTCTTCATCTCTGCTTCATCAGCATCCGTGGGGACATACCCCAAACCAAACTTTGCTCCTTTGGTGGGAATTTGGACAGGCCCGACGATTCCTTTAAAGTGCTTCCCCAATCCAAAACGTGGTTCGAAACCATTTTGGAGCATGACGGTAGCAATCATCTTGTACACGGTAGGCATAGGAGGCTGTGGAGCCAAGTCATCACCGGTGGCATTTACCAGCTCCACCGTATAGAAATCACAATCTCGAGAGACATCATCAACGATCGGTGCATATCCATTGGAATGACTGCCTTCACCATAAATGATCAATTCCTGGTCCTTCCAAACAAACTTCATTAGTTGGTGAAGGGTAGACGGCACAGCCCCAGCCATATGGATAAACGGTCTTCCAAGAAGCAAATGATAGCTAGTATTGATGTCCAACACCTGGAACTCGACGTTGAATTCCGCTGGACCCACCTGAATATCCAAATTCACTGCACCCAATGTGACTCTTTGCACTCCATCAAAAGCCCTCACATTGACTTAGTTCTGGTGAAGCTTTCCCAAATCAAATTTTAGCTGCCTCAGGGTCGAATGTGGGAAAATATTAAGACCGGATCCGTCATCGACCAAGACGCGATTTATTATCTTGTCCTGACACATAGTGGTGACGTGCAGAGCTTTGTTGTGCATCCTGCCTTCAAAGGGCAGCTCTTCGTCACAAAAACTAATTCGGTGTCCTCGGATGACCTAGTTTATCATGGCTACTAGATTGTCACTTTTGGTACCTACGGGCACATAAGTATCATCCAGAGCCTTCATCAACGCTTGCCTATGCAGTTGTGAACTCATCAACAAGGCCCACACAGAGATCTGAGCCGGCGTCTTCTCCAAATGCTTCACAATTGAATAATCTTTCGGTTGCATTTTTCTCCAGAACTCCTCAGCTTCGGCTTCACTAATCGGCCTTTTTGCTTGGTCCTTCTTCTGCCCTCCTTGAGCCAACTCTTTCGGTGTGTAGCACTTGCTGAATCTGGTCATACCCTGGGTAACAACCGTTTCAATAACAAATTTTAGTTGGGTAAGAGTTTCTTGTGGCACCAAGGGTACAGCCTTCTCAGGTGTCAGAATCACAAACTTTTTCTTCTCTCTGATGCTCAACGAAGCTACAGCCCTTTTCAGTTCATCAGGAGCAATCGAAACTATTGTCTTCGTCACGCACCAGTCATCATCTGTCTCTATCATATTGATAGTGGTGCCTCCATGATTTGGCAAAGGATTACTATTGACATTGGGCGCGACTGTCTGAAAGGAGACCACATTCTAGTCAATCAGGTCTTGGATCTTATGCTTCAGGTTGATACAGTCCTCGGTATCGTGTCTGACATTGTTGGAGTGATACGCGCACCTCTGATCAGGTCTGTAAAACTTTGAGCTAGTGCCAATCAGCTTGGGACCCACTGGATGAATATATCCTACCGCGGTTAATCGCTCTAACAGCTTTGTTCAGCTTTCAATAAGCGGAGTGAAAGTTCTAGCAGGCTTCTTCTCAAATTTAGGACGGGAGGGATCGTAATTGCCTTGTTGAGGGGGAGGCATTTGGCGATAATTTAGAGCATTCGGACGGGGGGCTTGATATCTGGGATATGAGTTGGTTTGGTAGTTTGGTTGTGGAGGGGTATTTTGATAACTGGAGGGAGGGGTACTTTGGTAATCATCCGGTGCATAGCGAGCCGAGTATGAAGTCTGTGAAGGTCGAGAACGACCTTGGTATGATGAGGATTTCCTTGGGGTCTTCCTCCCCTCATAAGAGATAGAGGACACATCCTCTCTTTTCTTCTTCAACAATCCCGAAGATCCGGGCGGGGCAGCAACACTTGTAATCTTCCCGGTTCTCAATCCATCTTCGATAGTCTCACCTACCTTGACTATCTCAGCAAATTTCGCTCCCACGAGCAACATAATTCTGTCATAGTATTCGGGCTCCTGCACTCGCACAAACACTTCGACAATTTCCTTTTCTAACATAGGAGGCCAAACTCTAGCTGCCTCCTTTCGCTATCTATATGCGGATTCTCTGTAACTTTCAGGAACAATCTCCACATTTTAGGTGAATCGTTCGATGAAGTCCTTAGCCAGAGCGTTCCAACTAGACCACAGTCTCGTTTCATGAGACGTAAACCACTCTAGAGCCTCTCCTCTCAGACTTCGGTTAAAAAGCCACATTAACAAAGCTTCGTCTCTTCCAACTCCCACGAGTTGGTCATAGTAGGCCCTCAGGTGTGCTAAGGGGTTCCCCGTTCCTCCGAAGATGTCAAATTTTGGCACCTTGAACCCTTCCGGGAGGTCCAAGTTCGGATGAATGCACAGGTCTTCGTAACTCAACCCGGCGACCTCAGGAATGCAATTCAACTCCTTCATGACCTTTCTAATTTCCTCCTTCATATCTATCTTGAAGGTCTCTTCCTTTGACCTCCACTCTTTCTCTCTCTTCATAGTGGTCGAGCTCCGAACCATGGGCGTCATGCTCATTGGGGACTGGTATTTGGAAAGTGGATTTTTGTGGTAGTGGTGGAGAAATAGAGGGACTTTGGGCATTTTGAGTGGCTTGATAATTTTGAGGGAAAATCTGAGGGTTGGTGTGTTGATTTTGGTGATGGAGGGAAATGTGCGGGCGGTTAACATTTTGGCTTTGAGGGGGTAGGCCAGTTTGGTGGTTTGCATTGGAGGAAGGGAGTGGTGCTTGGAGGTTGGTATTTTGAGGAGGGGGTGGTGTTTGATAAGAGGCTGAGGCGTAATGGGGGTTTTGGGTGGTAAGGTCAATGATGGAGGGATTACGAGCGGGACTTGAAGGCGGGTTCTGAGCTTGTTCCACATTAGGAGGGGGAATTTGAGCTGGAGGTCTTCCATTTGGTTGAGCGTTGACAGCAAAAATCGGAGAAGGCAAATCTTGTTTTCTTTGCATCTCGACCCTCATCTCAGCAATTTGTTGCATCAACTGTAGGATCAGTTCCTTCTGATCGGCAAGGACGGGCTGAGCTACCACGACATCAGTAAGGTCGATTTCTTCGTTGTTATCACCATTGCTGCTTTTCCTTTTTGGGAACTTTGGCTGGGAAAGGAATCTGTAGGCCCTTTAGATCTAGTGAAATAAGGATGATCGGCCAGTGTATCAACACAGATCAGTTCTAACTACCTGTAGAGAAAAACAACTCAAAGGCAAATCTGTTAGTATTAGTTCTGGATGAATGATGCAAGATATCACATAGAAAGCAGATAAACACATATGAGTTGCTTCGTTTGAGAACATGTTAACCCACGAATAATGGGGACTTATTTTTTGAACAGGCAGTAATTTGCTCGTTTTATTTTGGGGCTAGTGACTTAGAAAGGCTAAATTGCGTTGAGCTAAGGTCTTCTATTGCATCTTCTGGCATCTGTTGATCTGAACTCAATGTTTCCTTGTAGAATGAAAGAGGGGGGAAAAGAAAATTTGAAAAAGATAGGGGCCGGGCCTTGAAAGGCTGCCTACGTATCTCCTAAGGAGAATTCAGGCCCTACGTAGTTCGAATACAAAGGAAAATTTTCATTTTCATTCATTCATTTCTGGTGATTACAAGGAAAGTGAAAAACAGATAAGAAAGCTCCTAAAAGCTCGATGGTGCCTTCACCGAAGCTCCTTCCTCTGACTATCGTATTAGCCACGGGGGGTAAACTCATATGCTTCGGGGGCGGTTTCCTCATTCTCTTCTTTCCACCGTCCCTTGAAAGGAGGTCTATAGACAATTTCCTCTTCAAGTTCCTCTTTCAACAGATTCAGGTCCAGTGCCTTCAGGACCACTGTTGGTGGCCTCTTGGTTGAAGAAAGGGTATTTTCCATGTAGTTTTTGAAGCCTCATGGTTATATCATTGTTGAAGGCATCATGTTCCTTCCGCATAGCAACCGTTTCCTCATTCAGGACAACATATCTTGCCATCTTAGTCGCTAACTCCGCGTCCAGTGCTGCACTTTTGGCTTGCGCAGCTGCGGTGGCTAATTCTACTTCTATTCCTCTTTCTCCCATCTCTCGAATCTCTTGTTTGAGTCGATGCAATTTCATCCTTAGACTCTCTTCAGCCGTTTTCACTTCGTCATTCTTGCTCTTTTCCATCTTAGCAGCAATTTCACCTTTCCTGGGATGATAGAGTAACATTTTAGGATTTGATAGTAGGATTTTGTTTCTGGCTGAGAAACTCCAGACTTGTGGAATTTTGGTCGAACATTTTGGTAGTGACTTGTATTTGGTATTGGGGAAATTTTCAGAAAATTTTGAAAGGAGTGGGTTAAAATGTCCTCATTCAAAGCAACATATCACATAAACAGTTTAAAACATACAAACATATATCGCGTGTCCTAAACAAGTAGGGGGCCCTTTTGTGCCAAGGGTAGGCCGAGCGTATTTGAAAGATGTTTGTGTAGAATTAAACCATTTTGTTACCCTAAAGCAAATTTCGCATATAAAATGATGTTCAAGAAGCAAAATTAAGCAGGGGAAGTAGGGAATAAACGAAAAACACAAAGGAAAGGCCCGCTCAGGGGTCATTTGAAAAGAGTACCAAAATACAAGAAATGCAAGCCCACGCAGAGGCCAATAACAATAAGTACGTATAGAAAAACCCACACAGGGGCGAATCCGCTAAGATGCTCCTGATGGCCCCGCCTCTGATCTGCTCCTCTTGTTCTGTGCCATGAGATGTTGAAGCCTATATTGAATCATTAGCAAGTATCCTTCACTTCGGCGGCCTTTCTCTTCCCAGTCCTCGAGACACATTCCGCTTTTCTTATCTCTAATCCATAAGTTAAGCTCTCCCAAATCGCTTCTCAAGCTTTCTAATTCTTGAGTTACGCTCTCGAGGGCGTACTTATCCTCCTCTTGCTTTCGGAGAAATTCCTCGTGCATTTCCTAGGCTTCTCTTCTTATCTCTCTTAGTTCTATCAAGCTTTGGACTCTTTGTCCTCTACACTGCGATAAATGTTTGGAACTGAGAAAGAGATACCTTGTATATTTCCCTTCAACCAATCTTTGTAGGTTTCATCGTACCCAGCTTTGAATCGGTCCGCGGCAATGGTGTCATCTTTCATTCGCACTGCTCTTTTCCATTTTCTTAGCATCTCTGAAGCATCCGGCACTCTATCATCCGCAATCTCAAACACATAGATACGGTAGTATGCTTCTGGAGGTGTAGTTTATCTTCTTCCGAACTGCCTCAAGACCCGGATGGGCGCATACGGGCGGATACCTCGAATACCTAGTAGAGAAAGCACAAGTTTTCTGTTGCCCCGTACTATGGCATCTTTCGAGATAAAACGGTCGAACATCCACGGGATATTTTCTTCTCTCAACTCGGAGAAAATCTGAGCCCATCTTCCTCTAGTTCTCCTATTTTCTAAATCTGTCCAAAACAACATATCATTCAAACCCTAGAGAGAATTATTATCATCGAGGGTGTGTAGCTTTTGAGTCCCGTGTCCCTTCGCTAAGTGGCTCAGTATCCACCATTGGAGGAGGAGATCGCAACCCTGAAAGTAGCGATGTCCTTCCTTGCATTTTCCCAAAGCACGGTACATGTCGGACAGGATGACAGGCGCGATAGGATAATACTTCACTTGCCCTTGGTTCAGATGCCCGTGGAAGAGAGTGTGTGCAAGCATTATTACTCGGGTGTTGATGCTGAGGCTCGGGCCTTGGGGAAAAACCATAGTGCCTAATAGCGCGATAGTGAATGCCAAAGGTCTGATCCCGTCCCATTCTCTGAAGGTAACCCTGAACTCTTGATTGTAATTCGCATAAAAGGTTTCATTCCCTAATCTAACATAGAGATCCATGAAAGAAACGCTAGAACCATCGGCCCAGAAGGCGTAATCCTTTCTTAATCCGAGCCAATTTATAATATCCTCGAGAGTAGGCTTGTTAGGGATTAAGATGTGTTCCTGTTTTCTCACTCTTCTTTCAAGCCCTGTACCGACTGTGTCTATTCCGTCCCGAATTTCCTCAATTGTCGGGGTGATCTCCATGGTTCCAAATCTGAACACCATTTTCTCGTTGTCCCAATAACCCGTGAGTACTTCAATAAGCTCGGGCCA